CTAGTGGCGGCACGACATGATAATGCCTAGCACATACCAAGGAAATCTCGAAACGGGTGAAGCTCTCCTAAGTATTGCTGGAGGAATCGCACTGGTTTTCTCTTCGGCAACAATCTTATCAATAGGCAATGCAACTAGTTGCAGAGCTGGACAACCAGTTTTGTGGATTACAGCTTAACTGGGTATTTCAAATAAGACACTGAAAGACAACTTACAATGAAATGTGCATACTGCTCGAGACAAAGGCCATACAGTGCAAGGGGATCCGTGAATAAATCTCCGTACTGGTTGATTACTTGTGGAACATCGTAGGCCCCTCCGTAAGTTATCGAATATTTCGCCATATGCTTTTCCACAACCTTAATTAAACATCATCGAGATCAAATCATCGCTGTGCCGCTAAATCCACTATTATTTTGCTGCCGATATTTAGATTCTACTCAGAAAAGATGACCTTAGCATTTTTAGCTGCTCTTACACCGAGAACTACGTTCTTTTTGAAGCATCGAAAAAACGTAATTGAATTTTCGGTTTTTTTAACGGTGTTGCAAGGACTAGTTCGTCTTAACCTGATTTTGCTTTGACTGTTCGCAACTGCTACCATAACATAAACACAAAATGCAAGGAGTGAAGGAAGGGGATCAAAGTTCTGAAGTTCCAATTTAATTCGAATGCAATTTAGAGATTCCTAGAATGAGTCTTTTCCTTTAATGAATCCTCTTCGATGATTTTAGGATCTGTTCATTACTGAACAAGAATGCGAATATTCATTTCGCGACATCAAGCCGCCAAAACAGTGAGAGGGGAAGGTTTGAAAACATTTTTTTCAGTCTCTCGAAAAGTGACACCTTTGCTTTTTGCTACGAAGTGAGGAAGAGTAAAATTGTGCATGCCTATTGAAACCAGAGAAAACTTTCAACAAAATCGGTCAAAACTTTCACACTATACATTAGCGACTTACTTTCATTTGTCTCAAGACACAGTGCTTGAAACCAATCTCGGCATCATCCAGCTTGCCTTTCTGAGCGAAGATGTCCGACAATTTCAGGCTTACTTCGATGAATTCCGGATCGCTGTCTTGCTTATTGTGTAGACTCATTAACCTGTCAACAAAAAAAGAAACTCGCAACTCAGATCAATCAATTCGAAACAAACAAAACTCCATACACCATAACGGCCAAAAAACGTAATGAGCTTTTTAGAAAACACACTTTTTTCCATTTTATAAAAAAAAAAACTTAGAAAAGCAGCTAACAGTTTACCGTTGCAGCAGTTCACGGAAGGCTTGTTCAGCATCATCGAGTCTGCCCATCTCGTAATAAGTATTAGCTTTTTCATCCAAAATTCTGCTTACAGTGAGATCGCTGTTTCGTTCAATGGCCATTTGCATTGCTTCTTCGAGTACCGCCAGCGCTTTCTCATAGCTGTGATGCTTCCTGTGCAACCAGGCCTTAACGTGTTTTCAGAATCAAATATTCAGGGAGCTCCAAAAAACTTAGGGAGGAACCACACACTTAAAATACTTAGATTCTACTATAATAGCCGTGCAACTATATAACTGGTAACCATCCCAATTACTTTGCCCAGTGGTGCATCGCCTGGTGGTCAGCTTTTTGACGTCCTTTCCATCATCTGGAGAGATTAATGGCTCAGCAGTTCTCACGAAAAAAGCACTTGGCAGGGATTCAGCTATTTCGAGATGTGTACTAAGCATATTATTTCGTCTCAAATGTTGCCAACTCCAGACCCGACTACAAGATAGGCGAACACACCGAGTAATAAATGAATTTTTAACTAAGCTAAAGTAGAATAAGTATAAAGATGCACACATAGCACGGGTGATGAAGTAAGAAACGAGGAAGGAGAGCTTGCGGGAAAGCCGCCCAACTACATGCATGAACCCTAAATATTCGAAAGCAAAAATGGCAGCAAAAAAGGGCAGGGAATTATGAATGGTTTGTAGACAACTCGATCTCAATTTCACCAAAAAGACAAATGCGCATCTTAGTTATCCGACTCAATGAATTCTACGCCACACAGTTTTCATTGCATCCAAAACAAAATGCAGTGCCGCTGTCAAGGAGCTGTAGAAAAAGAAAACTTTTTTTTGTCAGACGTCAAAATACATAAAAGAATCTCTTTTTCATCAAATTCAGCTGAGCTAACATCGTTCCCTACTGCGGGTAGTGTAGGCCAGTGCGTGTCTATAGACACTAAATTCAGGCACGAGCTGACCGAACAAAGCCTCTTCCTACATTTTATTGACTTCTACAAAAGAGTGAAAAAAGGTTCAAATTATAGCACTTTGCCAACAGCAACCATCCACTAGCAAGGCTACCGGTGAGACTCAGTTGCTAGAATAACGCAAAAAAAGCTACACTCTCAGCATCAGTGCAAATTTGCGCATATTTTTTGTCTTACTGGCAACAGGAAGTGCACTTTTTACGTGGAAAACTACCACTTCCATAGTCGTTTAATCTCAAACTTTGGAACAAACTTTACTTACTTCCTTGATTTTGTGCTTTAGTGGATCCTTGTCGAGTTGGAATGGCGGTATGCCAATCATATCTCTGAAAGTTGTCATAAATGCGAAACCAAGCAGCGGAACGCCTGTACCTCCAGCAAGCCAACGCAATTGACGCCACGGACTGTGACCGCTACCCGTATGAGCACGACGATACGCCACCCTGGCGCACAGCAAAGCTGTCGTGGATGGCTGCTGTTTCCAT